GCTCAACATCAAAAACACTAAGATTATGGCATCTGGCCCCATCACTCCTTGGCAAATAGAAGGGGAAGTCGTGGATGTAGTGACAGACTTCACGTTCCTGGGATCCCAGATCACTGCAGACTGTGACAGCAGCCATGAAATTAAAAGACGCCTGCTCCTTGGGAGGAAAGTGATGGCGAACCTAAACAGCTTGATAAAAAGTAGAGACATCACCCTGCCAACAAAAGTCCACATGGTCAAAGCAATAGTATTCCCAGTAGTCCTGTATGGCTGCGAGAGTTGGACTATAAGTTGGACTATAACGAGCGCCGAAGAATAGATGCTTTTGAACTATGGTGCTGGAGAAGACTCTTGAGAGTCCCTTGGACTTCAAGAAGATCAAATCCGTCAATCCTAAAAGTAATCAACCCTGACTGTTCCCTGGAAGGCCAGATAATGAAACTGAAGGTCAAATACTTTGGCCACCAAATGAGAATTGGAGAAGACCCTGATGCTGGTAAAGATTGAAGGTCAAAGAAGACGGTGACGGCAAAGGATGAGATGGTTAGACAGTGTCATAGATGCAACGAACATAAAATTCAGCAAACGTCAGAGGACGGCGGAAAACAGGAAGGCCTGGCGAGATATTGTCCATGGGGTCACGAAGAGTTGGACTCGACTGTGTGACTGAACAACAACAACAACAACAACCTTTCCACTTGTAATTACAACCCATTATTGCGAGTCCTGTCCTCTGCTGCCACAGGAACAGCTCCTTGCCCTCCTCTAAACAGAACATCTACCAGAACATCTACCAGTTTGGAGAGCCAATCTGGTGCAGTGGTTAAGTGCATGGACTCTAATCTGTGAGAACCGGGTTTGATTCCCCACTCCTCCACATGCAGCTGCTGGATGACCTTGGGCAAACCATAGTTCTGTCAGAGCTGTTCTCTCAAGGACAGTTCTGGAAAGAGCTCTCTCAGCCCCGCCTAACTCCCAGGGTGTCTGTTATGGAGAGGGGAAGGGAAGGAGATTGCAAGCCTTTCTGAGACTCCGAGTGAAGGATGGGGTATAAATCCAATCTCCTCTTCTTCCTCTACCATGCTCTCTCCATTCTGCTACCACCCTTCTGCTTACTAAGTAGGGTTTCTTCCACCATCACACACATTCTGCTCCTGTGGAACTCCCTACCCCTTGTTATGTGGGCATCTCCTTCTATGCCCATAGGTAACCAGCAGCCAAAGACCCCGAAAGACTCCAATCAGACTTTTCCTACCTCGTCATCCCCCTTACTGTATTTTGCAGGCTCTTTTGGATTGAACCATTTGGGAAGAGGCTTTCAAAAGAATCTATGTACATTTTCAACCCTTTGGAAACTTCCAGCAATACCTTCGGAACAAGACTTAATAGTGAAGATTACAGAAAGTGCAGAAATAGATAAACGGACTTTGATGCTAAAAGGATTTCTTCAGGCTATGGACTCCTTTTTATGACTGGATAAAAAAAGAAACATAAAGATATGGATATTTTGATAATATGATACGAAGAAGCTTTTATGAACTCTTAAAAATTCAGAGTCTATCTTTTGGTAATCTGAAATGATAAGTGAAGAAGATCCAGGGCTGCAGAAGCGCACAGGAGCGGAGCTCCGGCAGTAAAGAGCCCAGGGGGCGGGCACATGCAACAAGCCCCACCCCCTGCTCCCAGCAGCCCTCAATCAGAGCAAGAAGCAGTCAGGTAAGTTGCAGAGCTCCCCCCAGCCCCCCGGTCCAAAACAGTCCAGGGGGAACCTTTAAGACCAGGTTTTATTCCGGTACAAGCTCTCCCTCCTCCTTTGTGAGGACAGATCTGCACGTTCCCCCCCCCCCAATAGCTAGCAATCCAAAACAGTCCAGTGGAGCCTGAGCGGTGGGTGTTGCCTTCTGACACGCTACCGGTGATGTCAGGGGGTGTGGCCTATGCAAATAAGTGATGCTAATGAGGTATGCTAATGCGCTCCTGCACCTCTTTTTCTACGAAATGACCCCTGAGAAGATCTGTATGCGGAAGACTTTCTTTTGCTGCTGCTGTTGTTGTTGTTTTTGGGTCCCCTATTTCCCCCATCCCTGTATAACTTTAAAAATCTAATAAAGTGTATTATATATAAAAAAAGAATCTATGTAAAGTTCTTAATCCCAAACACACACACACACACACACAAAAAGCACTGTGCTTATAAACGACCAGGAGGAGATTTCTTCAAAACAAGTCACAGAAACAGACGGGAACTTCAAGAGTTTAGCCCGGTCTCGTCACACTTTACAGCAAACACGCATATAACCTGCATTACAGTTGTCAGCTCTGGGTTGGGAAACACCTGGAGGTTTTGGGGGTGAAACCAGGGGAGAAGAGGGACATCAGTAGGGTATAACTCCCCGGACTCCACTCTCCGAAGCAACTAATGGCTCCAGGAGCACTGATCTCTATAATCTGGAAGTAAATTTTAATTCCAGGAGATCTCCAGCCACCACCTGGAAGTTGGCAACCCTAGTCTGCATGCACATGCATACATCTGTAAGAAAGAGCCTATGCACATTCATTTTACAAGTGAAATAGCAGATTGGTACCCGGATAAAAGTGGGGTTTAAATCATATGTTCACTATACATGTGCTGAATGTAACATGAGAATTACTCAAGGCACAAATAAAGAAAAATCAAGGGTACATTGTACATGGATTGTATGTGCGTTCACTGTAACTTGTGAACAGGGCTTCCGGCATGTTTACTTTCAAAGATTTATTTCAGCGCAATGTCTTTTCAAACAACCAGTGCCCTCTGGCCCCAGTGAAGACATATTTATTTTTAGTTTAAATCCCGGATTGTTACCACCTCGTTGTTGTGGACAACCTCAGAAGAATCTATTTCTGATGACTGCCCACGCCAAAAAGCAGCCCCTCATACCACAACCCATGTTGTTCCGAAGTGTCCCCCTGAGATTCCTAAGTATTTGTTCACAAGGTTCAAGGGGCTGCAACGGAAAGGGCAAAGCAGGAGCAGAAGTCCGATCTTCGCACCAAAAGCCCACAGTGGATTGGGGAATCGCAGCCTTTTAAAATCACAGTGAAATGGCGATGGTGAATCGGTGCTGGCCACACCTTTGCCTTCTCTTCTAGCTGGGGGGGGTGGGGGTAGATCACCATCCGTATCTGCAAGCGAAAGGCCTCCTCCCGCTTTCCTTTCCCATCTGTGTGAAGCAATAAAGTCACCTTTCCCCTGCACGCCAGGAAGGCTGTAGCTGCAAAAGGAGAGTGCATGTACATATTCTCACTAGGGTTGCCAACTCCATGTTGGGAAATTCCTGGAGATTTTGGGGATGGAGCCTGGGGAAGGTGGGGGGAGGGACATTAAGAGGGTATAACGTCATAGAGTCTACCCTTTGAAGTTGCCATTTTCTCCAG